ATAAGTACTAGTTAACTAGAAAATATACATGCATTAGATATGTAGGTAACGACTAGAGCAGTGGTTCTCAAACTTTTTAAATGACGGAACCCTTTTGGGAAGCAAAATACTTGATGGAACCCTACAATAAAACAATTATTTTTATAAGTGTATTCTATATTAATCAGCATAATAAAAGTACAATGTATCCGTTACTAATTATTATTTACTTCACCACTTGGTAAGGACAATAATAGAAAACATTAAAAAAGAAAAAATCTAACTAGTGGGAGGTATGAAACTGTTTTTTATTTTTCATCAATTGCTTGATATCAGGTTTGATGGAAGAAAGTTGGAGTCTCATATCAGCTTCGGCGTCCAGTCTATTGCGATATTTTGTTTTCGTGGCTGCGTAGGTAGAGAATCCTGTTTCGCACAAATATGTAGTTGGGAACGGGAGAAGAATATCCAGAGCCATTTGGCCAAGCATTGCATATTCATCTTGGATTCTGCACCAAAAATCATTAAGAGGCGTCGTTTTGAACAATGACTCCATACTTGTGTCTGATGACATTTCTAAAAGAGATTCATATATCTCATTTGACATGTTTTCAGGCTTTTCCAAGTTGGGTAAAAAAGGATTATGAATCCAGGAGTTCACTTTAATTTTTGTATTGTGTTCTTCGGGAAAATACTTTTCAAAAGATGCGCGCATCGAACTGAGATATTGGACCAATTCTTCAAACACATTATCTTCAAACATTTCTGAGTCGTTTTCGCTAACAAACTCAGTGAGTAACGTAAAACTTTCTATTTCTTTCTTACCAATGCAAATGATCCAAAAATCTAATTTTCTTTTAAAAGTAGTTATTTTATTATAGGCCTGAAACACTGTTGTCTGTTTACCTTGCAATGATAAATTTAATTCGTTAAGTTTTTGAAAGATATCCGCCATAAAAGACAATCGGAACAACCAAGTTTTATCATACAAACGGTCCTTCAAATTAAAAGAAGTATCTGCTGAAAGAAACATTTGTAACTCGGCTCTAAGTTCAAATAGCCTTGTTAAAGTTTTTCCCCGAGACAGCCATCGCACTTCTGTATGGAGCAGCAGTGTTTTATGTTTGCTGCCATAATCTTCACACAATAATGAGAACAATCGGGATTGTAGTGGTCGTGATTTGATAAAATTAATTATTTTTACCGCTTCATCCATAACTAATTTTAGATTAGACGGCATTTGCTTCATCGCAAGTGCTTGTCTATGCAGAATACAATGACTGGAACTACAATTAGGCGCTTTATTTTTCATTCGTGACACTGCTCCTGCTGTTTTACCTGTCATCGCCTTGGCCCCATCTGTACAAATGTCAATGCAATTGTTCCAACTGAGATTATGTTCTTCAAAAAATATATTTATTTTATTAAAAATTTCTTCCCCGGTAGTGTTTGTAAGCAGCGATGAACACATAAGCATGTCTTCTTCAAAAGAACTTTTATATGGATATCTCACAATAACCAGCAGGATAGCCAAACCAGCGACATCAGTCGACTCGTCCATTTGCAAAGCGAATCGTGTATTTTGTAGACGTGTAACTAGTTCTTGTTTGACGTAGCTTGCCAGATCATGGATTCGTCGTGAAACAGTATCGTTTGATAGCGGAACAGTAGAAAGATGCTTTGCAGATTTTTCATCAAGCATACATTTTGTTATGTCTAATACACATGGTTTTATTAATTTCTCAGCGATAGTGTGCGCTTCACCTGCTTGTGCAATGCGATAGCTAACTAAGTATGATGCCTCCGTGGCCTTTTCGTTGGTAGTTTGTGTTACATGCATCATATTTTTTTGACTTTCTAATAACTGATCTTTTTTGCGAACAAAAAATTCTTTATTCTTGTCTTTAGTCTCGGGGTGTACGGTTTCTAAATGTCGACGCAATTTGGCAGGTGCCATGGAACTATTAGGAAGCAGTTTACTACAGAGCATGCAGAGAGGTGAGCCGTTGGAATCAACAAATCCGAAACTGATATAAGATTCATCATACTTCCTTTTTTTCGTCTTTGAAACCGTCGAGCTTGACGTCGTGGCACTCGTGGCATCATCTTCTGGATCGGTGATTGCTAAATTCTCCGCGCGCATTGCTTTTGAACATTCAGCGTCATTAGAAGATGTTGTTGGAACACGTTTAACACCTTTAAGCCAACGTTCCATTCTTCTTTATTTATAATGTTACAAGTCAGGATAGTGGGGTTTAAATAATGCACAATCGTTACTGCGTATAAGAGACTAAATTTAGAACCTACAGGGAAGAAATGTATAAAACTGAGACAACAGAATACAGCAGGCAGTAAAACAATGAACACCAGTTTCTCGCTAGCGAGCTTGTAAGTAGGTAGTAACTTATCGCTCCGAACGCTAATCATCAACTGACGACGCCAACGCGCGATCGCCGCTTTTATACTTAGTCCTAGACTCGATCTCAAATATTCTCGAAAATACTCGAGTCGGCACCTTTGATAAACAAAAAGCAAAAATAAAAACAGAAATTTAAAAATAGCGTTGTAAACAATATCGACTTTATCCTTTGAAGTTAGAGACGAAAGTCGCTAGTTGACAACTATAGCGTCTAATTCAGAGGCGGCTTTTATCAAAGAGACTGAGCGCTTACAAGTATACTACCCGCTCGTTTTAAGTTTGCCGCTGGCGATAGGTATGAGTGTATGACGTTCGAAATTTTTTATTTAATTGTAACAATAAAAATTGTGTACGTTAGATATTTGGGTAAAACTATGACACATTATAAGTTTTGTTGTCACGTGGGGGAGGGTACGCGCATTCCACAGACCGGCAAACTTAGAGCGAACGCGTTGTACAAGTATAAAATTGTTGAGACCAAACTTATGAGATATTGTACCAGCTAATGTAACACAAGCTTATACAAATACAAATAAATAAATAAATAACATTCATAGCGTTTTGTCTCCGCGCGGCCGCGGAGTCCGCACAGCCGCGGAGCGACCAGAGAGAGGTGTTTTGATTTTTTTATTTCTAAATTCTTGCGGAACCCCGACAGAGGTATCACGGAACCCTAGGGTTCCGCGGAACACACTTAGAGTATAGCTGGACTAGAGTTAACTTCAAACATTTTTGCGAAAATTGAGGCCCACATTGTAGACTTGATCCTATGGTAAGGTCTCTGTATGTCTTAAGAAATCAATCTTTTAGTTAGACCACCGCAAGGTTCCTAATAATCCCCGCAATATTACCTCCCTTGCCGAGTGCCAAGTGAAAAGACTGTGGTACATACCGTCTTATAATCCTAACTAAAAAGTTTTAAATAAAAAAGTAAATTTAAAAAATCAAAAAACCCGGCTTCTTTATATTACACTGCGAATAAAAACTGAAAATAGAAAAACAAGTCCAGTGGTCTATAAGTAAGGGACAAAGCTACTTTAACAGTCGGGACCCATTAGATATTCAAGAATGGATCAAAATTTCAATAATGCTGCCCGCGACTTCGTCTGCATGGAAAAATTTACTTCGCACTCAAACTTCCACCCCTGTCAACCCCTCATCAAGAGGATGATTTTTGGGATAAAAAGTATCCAATGTACGCTTCAAACTATCTTGGTACCGACATTCATCTAAATAGGTACCGTGGTTTAAGCGTGAACAGGTAAAGGTGGCGGTTCGCGCCGCGACCGCGACAGGAGACTTACATGAGAGACCGAGACAGGAGACCGCGACGTGTTTCGAAGTGCCTCGGTCTCTTCTGTATGTACTGCGGGGCGAGACCGAGACTACCGACGAGATCATGACACCGCAACCACCTCAGTGTCGTAGAGTCTCTTGGAGTGAATTGTGTTTTAGTGTGTCATTAAATACTGTTATGGAACGCCACCTAGAGTAATGATTGGAGGAATAAGAAGACGATGATTTGCTGTTATGTTATTACTACAAAACTGAAAAATAGATTATTTATTAACGAATTATATTCAATTAGAGGCCTACAAGGTTCATTTTCGCTACTAGTGAAGAAAAATCAGTCATTATTAATAAAAAAACACGTGCATTTCGGGCGCGACACGAGACACTACTGGTCCGGGACGGCGACCGTCTCGCTGTCTTCGGTTTCGCGTCTCTGTCTCCTGTCTCTGTCGCACGCGCGTACAAATCTAAAGAACAAGTGCCGGTGGCGGTCTCCTGGCTCTGTCTCTCGTCTCGGTCTCCGGCCGCGGTCGCGACGCGAACCGCCACCTTAACATAAAGACAGATACACCTTTACATTTATAATGTTAGAATGGATATTTGTCTAGAAATACCACAAGGATTCGCATCCGGGACCTAAGAATATGCCAACACTATTAAACTTGGCGTACATACCAGTCACACCACGGAGGTCCTCAAAAGAATTTGTTACCAAACTATTGACAGTTAGGATAAAAATAAAGAAACAAAAATAAACCTAACATTTTTCCGGTATAAAAAGTATCCTATGATTATATTTTTTAAGCATTTAACTGCTAGATGTTTTAATCGAAAGAAAATTTTACAAGAAAAAAATCCACGCGGAACAGGCAGCAGACGAGACTCTAACCAGCACCCTTCGCTATCCGGGTGAATGCACTGACAATTATGCTACCGCTGCCTTGATGGCCGTGTCGAATTTTCTCTAGCCTTTTTTAGGCTGCAAGGCAGCGCCATATCTTCTCATTGTAGGTAATCTACAATGCCAAATACCTTTACAAGTATTAAACATTTGGAAGAAGAAATGGCAATTATAGTTGTATTTTTATGTTATAATCATTGAACTGCTAGATGTTAAAATCTAAAGAAAACGTTCCTAATCCGGAATAGGCCGGCAGGTCATAAACTATATGCGTACCAAATTTCATTAAAATCTGTGCAGTAGTTTTTGCGTAATTGAGTAACAAACATACAAACTTTCACTTTTACAATATTAGTTGGATACATCAGAATCGAGCGCTGCCGATCTATATAGGGCATTTTTCTTTAGAAAACTGGTCGTGGTGCTCTAGTTGCTCTGGCGGCAGAACCCCGTGCCCGTGCACGTCGCATCCTCCTCGTAGCCGGAGGGTCCTGCCACGACAACGCCGCCCATCCACCACTCACGACGGACAATATATTGTCATCGGTGCTCAAATTTGATCTACACACCAGGTTTTTTCTCGTCATTTTATTCTATTTATTTATAAGCTGTACTACGGGCTAATTGAGTAATTTCTTCTTAAGATTTCGTTCCCACTGCGCGACCGGCAAATTTGCCGAAAACCGGCTCCCGGCTTTGGTGTTCATATTAAAGCTGCAAGAAATTCGGATACTCGAGTCCTTAACTCAAACGAATTCATAGGCCGAAATGACAAATGACTCGTAGACGGGTGCGGTGAAGGCGACCGTGGGACAAGGATACCGGCGCGGCGGCGTGAGCTCGTACACATTATTCCGTTCCAAGCATTCTTGCCATGTCTAGAAAAATGTGAATGCTTTATATAAATTGTACAACCTAGTGGCCTTTCCGGCAGTTTTACCAGTATGACATATTAGAACTTAATTCTTTTCGCGATCCCCTAAAATGTGAAGCAAGTGTTTATGTAACATAGCTATGTATTTATTCTGATATTTTTTATATTAAAGGATGGCAAAGAATTATATGACCCGCCTGATGGTAAGCGGTCGCCGTTAGCGTATAGATAGACGCTTGTCATACTAAAAATATCACACGCCCTTATATCCACCCAGACCCCTTCCCCTGCACTGTGGACCTCTGGAACTTTACTCATTAACACAAACACAACACCGCGAAAACTAGTGCAGTGTAGTACTATTTCACGGTGGTCTGTTCTATAAGGTGGAGTGGAGTTTAATGAGGATCCATTACGATTTTAGTTGAGAATTCAGATTTATAGAGCTAAGGATTCCATAAAATACAATGGTAAATTTTTGTTCTACGACAAATACGAAGTTATAATTAAAATTAATAAACGAATTTTTGGCTGACTTTCGACTTACTTTTTTTTCGGCGGCGTGGTGACTGTGACGTCATAGAGTTCTAGCGCTCGGGCGTGAGCGTGCGTAGAGTCGTTACTAATATTTCTACTGGAGTGAACCACGATCGAGCTCTGTGACGTCACACGTTTCGGCCGCCGGTAAATATTGGCTACCATAAAATGTTATAAAATCGCAACGAATGAACCGATTTCGATGATTTCAAAAGTATATTAATTAAAAAGCTTATTATATCATTATACTGTTGATTTTGAGTTGATTTGCTGACCAACACCCATATTCTTAGTCGTTTCCTCGTGATTTTTTCCACTCGACTCAACCTCATTCGAGGAAATTCGTATGCTTAGACAACAAAAATATCCTTCACTTAAGATATTCCTCACTCGAGTGGAGGTCGAGTCGAGAATAAACTGTCAAACTCAAGGTAGCTCTCGACGTACCTTAGGCTCGAGTGGTGTTTAAGGTGTTTTCAAGTTGTTTTTATCGAGAATTATGTCTGATTTTGAGATTATTGACGAATTGGTGGATTTTATGGATTACGTATACGATGATGAACCATATAATCCGGCCCGACGGTATTTACGTGACGCCGCAAATCCTTTTGAGCTTTACGACAATGATTCGTTTCAAAGAAGATTTCGGTTTAGAGAGATACAGTCATATAAGTAATATTTCCTCTGCTAAGCATTACACTAAATTGTAATAACATTACTCTAAATATTACTGGTGGCTTTGAAGTTTTACGTGACAGGATTATTTCAAGTAGGTATTTACCTATGTTTGTTGTCTGATATTTTACTTTACACATATAATATGTCTATGCTTTTTACCTTTGTTTGTACTCTCTGTGGAGGAATTCTCAAGTTTGTTCAAGATACCTACTAGAATATCATTTTCGAAGTTATTTGGAGGAACTCCTTAAGGGGCTCTCGAATGAGTTAGAGTCGAGGAACGTTTGAGGACGCGAATAAGAATATGGGTGTTAGAGTCGAGGAACGTTTGAGGACGCGACTAAGAATATGGGTGTTAGTAATGTTCGTCATTCACCAAGATATTCGGTTGAAATATTAGCTGAAGAAATCTATTTCCGATAGAGCGATATTCAACTTAGGTGGTTGCCAAATTGAACCACTTGAATGTACCTATTTTATTAACAGAGGATTCAATGTAAATTACTTAAGCCAGAAATGACTCATGCCATTTTCTTGGGATTGTTGACAGGGAATGGGAAGAACTTGCGGCAATGGACATAGCGCGTATTCAACCAGGTGTGGCAACATTAGCAGGTCGGGTATACGCTGTAGGCGGTGAACAAGGCAGTCAAATTTTAGCAAATGGAGAGGTTTATGATCCACAGGTACATTAATTAATAAAAGAAAAAAAACTCATTGTTATTCTCATAGTACTTTATCGAGCCAAAAAATGTAATCAACTAAATTTTACAACGAATGCCCCGTAGACAATTTTTTGTCGTAGAGCTGTCTGTCAAAAGGATGCTTTCATATGTGCCTAGATTTGCGCGCGTCATCTTCGGTGTACTTATTGCGTATCAAATATTATGTTCCTAGATGTAAATAATTAACGTATATATACAAGTAGACTCCCAATTACCTGACAAAAGTGCATCCAAAAACGTCCGTCTGTGTTAGTGTTACATATACATCTAATACAGGTAACATTAACGCATTTGTTCAAATGAACACGTTATATCGTGGCAGTAAAATTTTTTAGCGATTGCATACGAGAGAGATACTTTGATAAAGGTGCGAAAGAGGCATAGGCATACGAACACGTGACACGGGTGGTACACACGGGGATAGATATTTCGTAGTAGCTATTAAAATGTAATTAATTAGCAATACGATAGAAATGCTAAGATAGGTTGAAAATTCTAATTATGTTTAAAGGGAAACTTACCTGAAATACGACACAATGTTTTGTAAGTGCAGACCTAGTGACACAGTTAACCGAACACTTTGCCAATACGTGGCGTTGTAATCAAAGAGCAGTCGAAACACGACTGTTTGAAAATAAACGCGTGTGCGTAATTTTCTTACCGACACTTTTTTAATACGACAATGATATAAAAATAAAATACATATTCTAATTAGATCGCTTGTTTTTAGACTGATAAATGGTCAGACATAGCACCGATGAAAGAAGCACGTTGTGAATTCGGTTTGACCGCGTGGAGCGGTAACCTCTACGCTTTCGGTGGGTGGGTGGGGTCAGACATGGGGTCTTCTGTGGAGGTTTACGACCCCGTTAATGACGACTGGACTGTTACTGGGAGAATGCCAGAACCGCGGTTTGGAATGGGCGTCGTAACTTTTGAAGGTAGGTAGTTTATGTTGGCTCATATTTAAATGATCATTAAATAACAACTGTGGTAACCTAATTTTAAGTTACCAAATTAATTTTTTGAGGACTGTTTAAATAGTTTCATGCCAACATTTTAAAAATAGAGGTGTAATTGTCTAACTTTTAAGTCTTTCCGCGATCCCTTTCACACTGCTCCTAAGGCTAAGTTTTTTGTCCCAAAAATAGTTTTAAGATAAGCTGCCGTTACTTCTAAGAGCAAGCACCCATTGAGACACTAGTGGCGGCCGCTAACGGCTCAGTCAAGCCAAAAGACACATACACCGATCGCGGCCGCAGCTTGTGGATGCGTTTAGTGGCTCAATGTGCGCTTGCTCTAATACTACCTATCGTTTGCAGGGCTCATTTACGTAGTCGGCGGGTGTACTCACACATGGCGACACACGCGAGACCTGCTCTGCTATCACCCGTCTTCCCGCAAGTGGCATACACTGACACCAATGCGGCACGCGCGCAGCCAGGCGGCGGCCGTAGTGCTCGACAACCACTTGTACGTGGTGGGCGGGAACTCACCGGGCCGCACCGTACTCGCCTCCGTCGAGAGATATAACTTCGACAATGTAAGTCACTAACAGCCGCCCGTCACCAGGAGCCACTACTCACAATCACTACTGTTTGTAGCCGATGCGGCATACGCACAGCCAGGCAGCGGCAGCAGTGTTCGACAACCACCTGTACGTACGTCAAATGCGTACGATTACAAGCGGTTGCTTGTATTATATATACATATTATTATATAGTAATATTAATTAAATGGAAAGCCGCTACCCGCGTAGTTAGCCTCATGTGCACTATGTAGTTACCTCTGCGGTTAACCACTAGTGCACATGAGAGCTAACACATAGTTGTATTCTGACAGGACACGTGGGAGGAGGTGGCGAGCATGAAGGTGGCGCGCGCGGGGTGCGCGGCGGGCGCAGCCGAGGGCGCACTCGTAGTGGCGGGCGGTGACAGCGAGAGCGGCGGCGAGCGTGCCTTCTACCGCGCGCGCACCACGCTCGCTAGCGTCGAGGTGTACGATCCCCGCGCCGGCGTGTGGCGCGACGGGCCGCCGCTGCCGCACTCGCGCGCTGAGGCCGGCGCGGCGCTGCTTTGACACGTGCCCGCACATTCTACCGCGCGCGCACCATGCTCGCCAGCGTCGAGGTGTACGATCCCCGCGCCGGCGTGTGGCGCGACGAGCCGCCGCTGCCGCACTCGCGCGCTGAGGCCGGCGCGGCGCTGCTCTGACACGTGCCCGCGCCTTCTACCGCGCGCGCATCACGCTCCCCAGCGTCGAGGTGTACGATCACCGCGCCGGCGTGTGGCGCGACGGGCCGCCGCTGCCGCACTCGCGCGCTGAGGCCGACGCGGCGCTGCTCTGACACGTGCCCGCGCCTTCTACCACGCTCGCCAGCGTCGAGATGTACGATCCCCGCGCCGGCGTGTGGCGCGACGGGCCGCTGCTGCCGCACTCGCGCGCTGAGGCCGACGCGGCGCTGCTCTGACACGTGCCCGCGCCTTCTACCACGCTCGCCAACGTCGAGATGTACGATCCCCGCGCCGGCATGTGGCGCGACGGGCCGCTGCTGCCGCACTCGCGCGCTGAGGCCGGCGCGGCGCTGCTCTGACACGTGCCCGCGCCTTCTACCGCGCGCGCACCACGCTCCCCAGCGTCGAGGTGTACGATCCCCGCGCCGGCGTGTGGCGCGACGGGCCGCCGCTGCCGCACTCGCGCGCTGAGGCCGACGCGGCGCTGCTCTGACACGTGCCCGCGCCTTCTACCACGCTCGCCAGCGTCGAGATGTACGATCCCCGCGCTGGCATGTGGCGCGACGGGCCGCTGCTGCCGCACTCGCGCGCTGAGGCCGGCGCGGCGCTGCTCTGACACGTGCCCGCGCCTTCTACCACGCTCCCCAGCGTCGAGGTGTACGATCCCCGCGCCGGCGTGTGGCGCGACGGGCCGCCTGAGGCCGGCGCGGCGCCGCTCTGACACGTGGCCCCGCCGCCTCACATCGCGGCAGGTTGGCGCACCTTCTACCACAACACTCCCACTTAATGGCGGCTGGCAAACGTACAATATTTAAATGATCACCATAAAATACAATTGGTAACTTAGGCATAGAACATCACGGAAGGAACATGTATACATCGTTTGTTTGCCCAAATATTTACTTCCCTCTTGGCCGCGTCGGTCGTGTTGATCTATGGTTTGAGGTTAAGATAGGTATCTAATTGCATTTTTTGATCATTATTTAAATATGGGCCCTGTGAAACTAGTGGCACAAATGTGATGTAGGCATGTGCGGGATGCCACTTATATAAAACCTGCGCATAGTTGCGCTCGCTGTTAACTTCACAACCGCCATAAAGTTTGAACCGCACCACGCTAGCGAACATTGAGATCTTAAAACAAGATCTAAAGCATAGAAGTAATGACGTTTAAGCGAACACTTCGGTCCGGTAGGGAGCTAGTACAATTTGACGTTTCTATAGTAGTATGCAAGCTGTTCATAGCAATATATTATTTTTGTCTCTTTTCTGGTCTTTATGTAAAAATAGGATAACTATATGAGTTGAATTCAAGCTCTTTCTTTGCTTTAGTTCTTGTATTAGATGTATAAACGGCCGCGCTATGGGTACGTTTTATAAATATATACTGTATCGTAATATACGTCGCCCGTCGTGGTGTCTAGCACACATAGGATAATATAATCACACCTTGGTGTTGAACAACCCTCTTCCAACCACTGAGATATTTTACGTGTTACGTATTTTCGTCGTGCTTCGTAATTTATGGGTAAGTACTGCAAATTCGGATTTTTCGGCAGGGTCACCATTGCCATTCCAATATGAAATTTATATTAGCAGTATACAGATATCAATCAGATTTGTAATGCCTCATGAATCAAATATTACTCAACATATCACACTGTCTGTACATTGTTTCTGATATTTATAGCACGAATGTGCTTTCGCATACTAATTTCATAACTTTATCTTTCGTTTATAATTTTAGTCACTCAACACACAGATCAGGAAACATCATATCGTACCAGTACCAGAACCAGTGTAACCAAAACACACACAAGAAAATGTCGGTCCACGCGTTTGGTCTCTAGTGTGCCACAAAGGAACATTCATACATATACAGGGTCAATTTTAAAATACCGGTAACCTCGCAGTACTAGATAATATCATACACAACAAAATTTATTCTACGAGTTTTGAAAATTCGTTACATTTCATTTTCACAAAAATAAATATTAAGTTAATTTACCGCCCGAATGTTATTAACTCTGCAGACACGTGGAATCGGGGTGAAGGAAGTCAACTTATGTGACCTTTTTATCTACGACAGCCAGCAGTGTTTCCGCAATGAGGGGAAATTCCCCTTTTAAGGGGAAATTAGGGTCCAGAGGGGAAGAAAAAGGGGAAAGACATGATTGGGGGAATTGTGGGATATCATGGGTAAAGCCTAGGCTAAAATACTGCGAAAAATTTCGGAACTATTTTTTTATGGACTATACCGTGGACTAGAGTGTTGCCGCATAAAAGTAACTGTGGCAACACGTGCAGATTTTATATATTTCTGGTCAGGCTATAAATAAGAATACGAACTGTTGAATTATACTTTATTCATGCTTAGTCTTATTTTTTTTGGATTCGCTTGCAGTTGCATTGGCTATTTTATATATTTCTGGTCAGGCTATAAATAAGAATACGAACTGTTGGATTATATTTTATTAATGCTAAGTCTTATTTTTTTGGATTAGCTGTCAGTTGCATTGGCTAACTGATTTAATTAATTTTCATTAAATAACCGTTCTACGGTAGCATTGGCAAAAGGCAGTGACATTAGATAGTTTACCAAAATTGGCAGTTGAAGGAATTTTAAGGACAAACTTGACATCTGACATATCGTCTGGGTACACATTCGCAGGTTTAGGTGAGGGCTCACCGAGCTGTTCTTCGATTCGCTGGCGGATGTAACTTGGAATATGCTTTTTTGATTTTCTTGAATGTAGGTGTTCGGAAATCATTATAGGCCCAAATTACGGATGAATTCTGTTCTCTTGATGGTGACATTCTTGTTAGCGCGATATATAATGCAAGCATTGATAGCTGCCATGTTCAACACACCATAGAATAAAGTCATAGACCACCGTTTACTGTTGCGACTGACTTTATAACTGGCACTCAATTCATCGACCACGTCAACGCCAGCTTTAGTCAAGTTATTAAAATGTTATCATTTCAGGTTTTTGTTTCTCGCCTGTTGATTCATCAATTGCATTATCATGATGCATAGTGGACGTAACAATAACCTTGTTCTTCTTTGGCGCATAAGAAACTAATGTGATGTCTTTTTGAAACCCAAAGAGTGTACCGTTTGGTTCTCTGTCAGCTGGATTAAAAGAATCCGGAATCTGTCTCTTGTTCTACAGTTCCAACCGGTGTAAGGCGGTGCTCATTTAGAAGATGCAGCATTAGCTCATATCCCGTAAACCAGTTATCAAAGGTTATGTTGCGGTGTGATCGTGAAACTGGTTGAATGAGTCTTCTCTTCATTACGTGGAAGGGTTTATTGATGACTGCATATGGTCCTTCCGGTTGTTTGCCTGCGTACACTTCCAAATTCAAAACATAGAAGCTTTTTGCATCGACGAGAGCTAAAATTTTTAACCCATACTTAGCCGGTTTGCTTGGGATGTAGACGCGGAACAGGCATCGGCCTCTAAACGCTAGTACCATCTCGTCAATAGTGAGAAATTCACTTGGAGAGTATGGATTCTGACAACATTGAACAAACTGATCAAAAATGCATCTGAAGGCTGCCATATTATCAATTTGTTTACGCTCCTCTCGTCGATTTGTCATCAAAATGTACAGCATTATGAATGAACTGGAATCTCTGCAGTGACATAGTGGTGCGAAAAATATCAACACCAGTTCCATCAGTTCGCCAAAGATCTTTCAAGCTTTGTTAATTAGATTTGACGACGCCAGCTACCTAAGTACAGTAAGCCAACAAATGCTTTCAGTTCACTAATAGTGGTTTCTTGCATGTAATAAGGAGCTTTCTCATTATGATTATCCATAGCATCAGCATAATCGCGCTGTCTTTGGCGAATTTTGGAATAAGTGTGAATCAAGATTTCTTGAAGCATGTTTGAAGTCACAAAATTATTCCAGCAGTCATTCTCTGTAGCAGCATCCCTTGCAGTATTCTTTACTCGAGCATGCTCCGTTACGATGTTTTCTGATCGAAGCCTTACGTTTGGACGCTGACAATTTTTGTACCACTTCGTACTATCTTTAGACGTAAAGAAAGGACCATTTACTTGACGAGAAGCTGAGACTCTCTGTCTGAGCAGTGACAAGGGTAAATCGTCTTCAAGGTCATTACCTGATTAATTTACTACAGCTCCTTCCTGTCTGATGTTCGATGAAATAGCAACTGAAACATTACCTTCTTACTCCGACTCAGAACCCACTTGTCCTGTCTAGGCAATCTACTACGTCGATCACATCTACTTTTGTTTCAAAATTATGGCAGTAGTTGACTAGTATCGCTAGTTGCTTTTTGACGCTAACATGAGTTATTTCGTCAATATAAACGAAAAACAAATGATGGTTTAGTTCACTAACAAGTTTTTGATTAAAAAAATGGGCGCAAACCATTTCTAATGATAGTCTAAGATCCCGATATAAAACGACCTTCACCGAGATGTTTATTTCACGAAACGTATTTTATATTTAACTAGCTGACCCAGCGAACTTCGTACCGCCATAAAAAAAATTAACTAAAAAAACATTGTCCAGCGGACAAAATTGTGAATCTAAACCATTCTCAGATCCCCTTGAACACACACAAAAAATTTCATCAAAATCGGTCCAGTCGTTTAAGAGAAGTTCAGTGACATACACGCTCACAGAAGAATTATATATATAAAGATTTAATATGTCAATAAATAAATTGCATATGGGTTGCCTAACAAATTTTAGTACAGGGTATTTTTAATTAATAATTAAAAAAAAAAAATTTTTAAACATTCCACCGGTGTGATTATTAGATAAACTCTATACCAATCGAAAGTATGAAGCCCATAGAATATGCAAACGTTAGGTTGCCCTTTTTTCCGGTCACAACTATCGGGTTGCCAGGTATAAACAGGTAAATCTATACTAGCATTTTGCAACGGTCTCCTTGTTGAATTGAACTTAAATAAAAATTAAAGATTATTTAATTATAAACACGGTGGTATAGGGTTGTCTGCGAAAAATCAGTCCCTAATTCCGGTCGTCGAATTTTAAAAAGTAAAATATCGCTGCGAGTGAATGTGTGCGACTGAGAGGTCCCAACCAACCATCCCATGCGATAGAAGAGGACACAGCATAGCAGCTGCTTAAGGTCCGCCCATTTAAAGAAAGAGATTGCGCATGCTATTTGTGCTTGAAAATGAAAAGGATAGCGATAGACGCGTATATGCTGTGTATCATTTTGGAGTATTTTATTATTAGAATAGAGAAATAGTCATTTAATTTTTTATTTTTCAATC